AGTTTTGTTCTTATTGCCCAGGATGGAGTGCAATGGCATGATCTCAGCTCACTGCAACCTCTGCTCCCCGGTTCAAGTGATTCCTTGCCTCAGCCTCGTAAGTAGCTGGGATTACAGTTATGCAACACTACACTTTGCTAATTTGGTATTTTTAATAGAAATGGGGTTTTACCATGTTGGTTAGCCTGGTCTTGAACTCCTGACCTCAGGTGGTGATCCTCCTGCCTTGCTTCCCAAAGTGCTGGGATTACAGGCGTAAGCCACAGTACCTGTCTGAGAAATGGCTCTTCTTAATGGGAAAGGTTTCTTGGGCAATCCAGACATGCTCATTGAGTCTAAGACCACACCTTGAGTAGGTGCTTTCCTAAGCAGTCCTGAGAGCTACAAGGTATGTTTATATGTCTATGTAGACAGCTATGAGATGCTTGTAGCAGTCCTGAGAGATGCTTATAGCTATCATGTTCCCTTCCCACCCCACATCTTGCCCTGGGCTGCAAAATAGAAACATTATTTTGTCCTCAAAAGTGTTCATAATCTAGGTGAGCTCATGTGGACCTGCCCCTTTGCTGACTCTGGTTGGTTCTGGTTTGCTTGTCTAACCCCAAGGGAGGTCTTCATGCTCTTTCTGGAGGCTGGATGAGTTCATGTGTGGACAAAAACAGATGGGAGCTGGGAGACCAGCCCTGTGCAGGGACAGGCTAAGGATGTTGTGGTTGGGGGTACAGCAGGTACGTGGCTCATGAACTGGGTAGGGAATTAACGTCTCACCTCTTGTGCTTCTGGAGGGAGGTTGACATTGGTTAGAACAGCTGTGGAGAGAGACAGCTGAATGGGGTTCTTGGAGCCCTTGTAATCATAAGGTTTGGGCTATGCTCATTGGATTTGGCTTTTCCTAAATCCCCCTAGAGTTATTCCAGCCTGCGGGGGCCAAGTCTAGAGCAGAGGTTGCAGATTGGAGGCCTGCAGGCCAGCCTTGACCTATAGGTATGATTCACAGAGCATTTCTAAAAACTTAAATTAGCTGCTAATATTTTTAAAGCAGACATCATTAAATCTGGATTTTGAGTCTCGTGTAAAAAATGAGAATATGTAGCATCACCATGCCTAAATGGTCAGTCAAGTGGAGTAGAACAGCAGCTGCTGCCTTCAGACAAGATGTCTTCAGAATGCAGGGTTATCAGGAGGAGCAAACCCAGAAGACGCACCTTATCTATAGGCAGCTAGAAGCTGCATGCTGAGACAGTGAAAGGATTTTCTTCAGAGCCTTTGAGCAGCAGGCTCGCCTTGGCTCTGGGCCAGAATGATTTCTGAGGCTGGCAGAAAGAGTCAATTGTTTGCCTCCATTCTCTGCCTCTAGGCCATAAGTCAGTCATTCTTGCTCCTACCACCAGAAGCCAAGGGCCCTGCAGCCAGGATATCTCAGTCAGATTGGGCAAGTGTTTGCCTGTTCTCAGCTCAGAAAATGCATACATAGTCCAAGCCAGAGATATCATTGCATCAGCGCTGTGGTGCAAGAATTAAGTGTCTTCACAAACAGCAACAAACAGACTTCAGGAAAGCAACAGCATGTTCGGCCAAACATTCAACTCTGGATTTAGATTTGGGAACTCAAGACGTCTCAAGCTCTGGTGCTACCCAGCCCAGTGAACACGTGGGTGGGAGATGAGGCTCAGATGTGTCCTATGGCTTGAACTCAATTTGTTAAGAAAGGAGCACTGCATACTGCTATCATTTTACCCTTGGCAGTTTGAGGGAACGCAATGAAAGCTTATAAGCAGAAAAATAACTTAGTCAAATTCAGGAATCTTGAAACTCGATAGTGGCTACCATACTCCAATATATGTCAGGTTAAGACATCTACCTCTGTGGTGCATGGTACCACACGCCCAATACCAAATCCATAGCACACAAGAAAGAGGATTTAGAATAAACAAGATAAAAAAGGTAACTGAGCTTAAGACTTTTTAAAAAGTCTAAAACGCCATCCATGGGAATGCTTAGAGGAACTAGACAGCCTCTCTCCAAGTGGTGCTGGGCATCACAATCAGACTCCTTGACACAGAGACTTTGACAATGGAGCAGAAACACTGCCATAGAAAGCTATGTAGAGCAGGCTCAGAGAAGCCAGCACGGGCAGTCAGACAACTCAGCCACTACAATGCAGCTATTCTCTGACCTCTGATTATGTGGTTACTCTCCCAGCATCACCTTCCTGAAACATCAACCTTCTGACTTGTTCCCTTCCATATTCAAATGTTCTTGGTGTCTTTCTGGATTGTTTACACCATTCCATCATCTTTCTCCCTTATCTTTCTCATCTGAAAACCACACCTTGAGCAGACCTGAAAACATAATCTAGTAGGTTGTTTTTTGCACTCTTTGTGAAAATACTTTCATCATTTGAGATTTTCTTCTATCAGCCTATTTTCTTTCCTGGGTCTTCAAAAGAAAGATTCAATTTTTTAAAAAAGATTCAATTCCTCTTGCTAGCCAGATTTTTAGGGAATATCATGAACAAGAGAAATGGCACATAATCTAAGTAGAATATCAAATGGAGCCAAGAATGTGGTAACTTATTAATCAGCAATGAAAAGATAAGAAACTAACAAAAGTTCCTGAGCCATTGGAACTGGTTTTTATGAAGATATATACATAAAAACAGTGACTTACATGTTTTTTAAAGACCTTCAAAGGCACTCAAACAAAACTAACAAACACCAGAATTAAGATGTTTATTATGAGACCAAAGGTAAAATTCAAAGCCTGTATTCACCAGTATGCTGTCAAGAAACAATCTGAGTCTTATGCTGATCATGACAATAAAAAAAAAAAAAAAAATGCTAGTGCTTTTGGGGGAAGTATTATAAGCAGTCACCTAATTGAATCCACTCATTTTAAGGTACAAACTTTTGATCTTTAAGTAATTGTGAGCATCTTTTATGTGCTAAGTACTAAGCCAGGAGTTATAAGGCAGACACACACAAGCTTCAGTCGTTTAATTTTCAAGATAACTTAAAACACAAGAATGATATGAATTAAGGAAAATTTAAAATTAGATATATTAACAGATTTCATTTACAAACTTAATTAGCTTCTGAACAAATTCTGAAAAGAGTTTTAATAAAAATTCAACACCCCTTCCTAAAAAATTGTAGTTCATTACTTATAATACAGAAAAAGTACTCAGGAATCGAAAAACCCTTAAGTCAACTCTGATACTTTTACTAAGAAAATCTATTATCAGTGATAATAAAGATGACAATACAGCAAAAATGTAAAATGGAAAAAATTATATGATATTAAGCATACAAGATCAGAGAAGTAAATTGCGTATTTGATGTGACTACAGATTTGGAAAGTACATGCACGCATAACACGGACAAAAAGGAAAGAAGGAGAAGACTATATTTGAATGGTAGGAAACAGTTAAATATTTTTTCCATTTTGATAGCTACTGAATTATATTAAAATGTTATTTATGTAATAATTTTTATTTAAAAACTATACAGAGTAGGAAGAGGCAGAGCAAGATGGGAAAGGGGCACAACTGAGAATTGACTTTCTAAAACTCCAGATGACACCGCAGGATGAGGGTGAGTCCCCCAACTGAGGTCTTCCTCACTGCACCAGGTCTGGAGGAAGTGCTAGCTGGGAATCTGTCTAACCAGCTCAGCAGGTTATTCGTCTCAGGGCAGCCCTTCCTTTCCCTACCCCCTCTGCTACTCTCAACGTTCAGGTTGGTTTCACCTGCTGTACAAACACTATACACTGAGCAGCCAATCCCGCCTCCAGGTAGGATGGGAAAGCAGGCAGCGAGAGCTGTAGCCTGGGCACAGAAAGGGGCTTCGGCACATGAGCTGCTTCAGAACCCAGGGCCTTCAGCACACCTGTCCTTACCTGTTGAAGCATCTCTTCAGCAGCATTGAGTTTCACCTGGTGTCCTTCCAGACACACTTCCAGGTCTCGAATCTTCTCTCCCTGGGCTTCCACTTGGTCTGTGAGGACACTCACCTGTTCCAGGAAATAAAGCAATGGCAGAGGAGCAGGGACTTGACATGGGGCAGGAAAGCCTCCCCACGGCAGGGGAGCTGTGAAACCTCACCACTGACTCTTATACAGAGGAAAGAGTTTTGCATTTGGCTGAGTGGCAGGTAGAGGAAGTATCCTGAACGAAGGCAGCTCCAGTTAGATTCTTACCTTACAAGGGAGTCTCGGCCACTGCTCTGATGACATGGGTCACGTTTACTCCTCTTGACAGACTCAAGAGAAAAACACCCAACAGCCACAGAAGCTGCCTCTGGGCTGGACTCGTGCTCCTTATTCCTCTTACTGAACAGCCCCGACCTGAAGGCACATCTCAGCAGGCTTGCCAGGACTTCTGCAACCTCATGTGGAAGAGCTTTCCAAACTTCATGAAAACGAACCAATGACGTTACCTCTCTCATAAGGGTGTGAGGACTGCTCGCCTATCAGGCGAGTGTTTTGATGCAATTAATGAATGTGGGCTGTAAAGGGCATGTATTAGCACTGACAAAACTTGGCTCCAGAAAGGGTTTTGTGCTTCACAGGCCAAAACATGACTCTAAGTCATAAACACAGAGGAGCCACATTACACATATGGTGGCAGAAAAAAAGTCATCTTTCTAAAGAACGCTGAGAATCTCTATTGAAAATATGAATTAGTAAAAACTCATTTACAGGAAGTCATTCAAATTATGCCCTAACTGTATACTAGCAATGGCTTTCATAGCCTTCTCTATTAGCAAACTGCCCCAGTATCCTTTTTCTTTATTAAGAGATGGTTCAAAGCAAGAAGAAAGAGAATGAGTGTCCTCCCAAAAGTGAAGAAATTAGCAGTTGGTAAATTGAGATCCTTTAGACTTTTTCATCAGAGTCATTGCCATTTGCATATATATTATCCAGAATTATTTCTCAGCCTGTAACGTAAAGATAGATGGAGCATGAGTTGACGTGAGTTCATTTATGAGTGTTTAAATAAATTTTCTGAATTATAAAGCTCCTGTTTAAAAAGAAACTAATCTAAATTAATATGCCTACTTTAAGCTCTCCATTTTTACGTTCCCAAATGATGAATGAATTATTGAAACATATTCCTGGAGTCGACACAGGGTTAACATTCCACTTTTAACCAAAAAAGTGGTTTAAAACCTTTGTAGGTGGGTGTGTATTTATTACTCCCTGTGGCCCAGCACTCAGCCATCCTGAACTAACACCACTTTCAAAAAGGTAGTACTCTGGGGGTGGGCTTTCCTCGCTGGAATCCAGAGTTTCTGTCTGTGAAGGATGTTTTCTCGTTAATCTTATTATGAGGATTAGACATTTCTATGGTCTATACCATGCCTGAGGCTATGTGTTGGTGATACCCAAGGAATCACAGGATCTCTAGCATTCTATAGCTAATTGTTCAGCTCCAGGGGACTTCAGAACATCAATGCTGATTCTAAGTATTATGAATGAAGGGATGTAGAAAATCTGGACAAAATACATAAAGGTCCTAAACATGACCTTTGTTCACTAAAAACAACTATTTTTGAGACCCTACTAGATGCTAGGCATAGTTCTAGGTATTGAGGGATACAGACGTTAAAAAAAAGAAACAGGACGAAAATCCTTAAGGATTTTCATTACAATGAAGATATAAGAGATTTGGGGTTTCTTTTTAACTAATCCTAAAAACAGAGTATTTTGTTACGTGTGATTTGTCTTGTTTTACGAGTAGAACCAGGAAAACTTTCTGGGCCAAGGGCTCCAAATTAAGTCAGTCTGGCTGAGCTTGTGTGTGCATTAAGCAAGAGCCTCTACCTTGCTGAGAATCCGTCTAACCAGCTCCACTGGGCCACTGCAGAACAGGAGTGATCACATAACAGACACTCCTGGAGTCTGCCCATAAGCTCCCAGTAGGGTAGAAACCACTAGGGTCAACTTCTGACTTTACTGGTAAGCAGCTTCCCAATTGTGTTAAGATTATTTAAATAGGGATTATTCAAGAATTTGGAATTTTAGAAAACTATGAATGTGAAAGGAAGCATTATTAACACAGGACTTTTAAAAATTAAATTGTAATCCTCTCTAAATAGGAATGTGCTATTTCAATCATGAAGGGTCCTGGTTCAGAAGTTTGCAATTTCATACTGTTTACTGCAAAATCTCACATTAGATACTCTTTCACTAATCATGTCATTGGGATAAGAGTTTCAAATTACACATCCCTCAAACATCTGTGCTACAATGTGCTATTCAATCTGACCCCTGCGACCTCTATAAAGGCGGCTCCCACCACCCTTTTGGGCACAGACTCCAGGTACAATAGCCCTTTGCTGTTCTTCCCACACACCAAGCACACTCTTGCCTCAGTGTGTGGGCTGGAATGACCAACTGCTCTGCCTGGAGTGCACTTCTCCAGGTATCTGCATGGCTCCCTCCCCAGCTTCCTCCTGTAAAGGAGATCTTCCTTTTACTACACAGTCCTCATCTTGCTTTACTTTTTTCCATAGTTCTTATCATCATCTGAAATAGTTTACATATTGGCTTATTGTCAATACACACTCTGTTTTTTTTGAGATGGAGCCTCACTCTGTCTCCCAGGCTGGAGTGCAGTGGTGCGATCTCAGCTCACTGCAACCTCTGCCTCCTGGGTTCAATCAATTCTCCTGACTCAGCCTCCTGAGTAGCTGGGATTACAGGCGCCTGCCACCACACCCGGCTAACTTTCATATTTTTAGTAGAGATGGGGTTTCAACATGTTGGTCAGGCTGATCTCAAACTCCTGACCTTGTGATTCACCTGCCTTGGACTTCCAAAGTGCTGGCATTACAGGTACCTGCCACCAAGCCTGGCTAATTTTTGTATTTTTAGTAGAAATGGGGATTCACCATGTTGGCCAGGCTGGTCTACAACTCCTAACCTCAGGTGACTCACCCCCATTGGCCTCCCAGAGTGTTGGGATTATAGGCATGAGCCACCGCGCCCGGCCCACTCTCTCAAATGGAAGATCCACAGAATGGGAACTGAGTCTGCCTCTTTCAGTGCTGCATCCCAGCATCAAAAACCAGAATCTCACAAGTTGTATATACTCAATTATTTTATAATGAATAAATCAATGAAGAAAAATACAAAACTGGAATGTAAAACCATATATTTAGTATGAGCTCAGTTATTTAGAATACAGGCAAAGGAAAAAAAAACAACACTGGAAAAAAGGCCAAAATGTTAACCTGATTCTTCAAATTTTTAGCATTTTAAAAGTTCCTAAAATCATTCATTACCCTTATGTTCATAAAATACAATGAAAGAATAAAATAAACAAGGTAAAAAGAGAAAAAATAAACACACTGCCACCTCATAACCCTAGTGCTCCAAGCTGAAGCCCATAGCTTGGGTAGGGTACAAGGCCCCCCCAACCCCTCCCTCCATTCTACCACCAGTCTAACTCATCGCCCTTTAAGCTTTAAGGAGCTGGGATTAGGATACTGGCCTTTATATTTTCCAAATCACCAATTAATATCTGATGCATACCAGACCTTGAGCAAATGCTTGCTAAATCAATTTATACTTTCAAAAGCTAACATAGCAAAGAGCTAGGCCTGCTTCTTCAACAGCGTTCTTACGGGAATACCTAATTCTATGGCCTACAAGGCACACAAACTTTCAAAAGTGAGAAAGCTCCTTTGACTATCTTTTTCCATTAAAGGTGTTGGAGTTCCTCTCTTTCAAGCAAGAGAGCTATCAAAGGCTTAGCCCCTATTACCAGCTCCAGGGGATTTACTATCAAAAGGATCAGTCTAGATCCAGCTTCAGAAAATTTGGACTTGATTCATTAGCATTCACCTTTAGGCCTGTATCACCCACAGCTCTGTCTTATTAGGGGCACGAGGATATATCTCCCCTACCTCACAAGACTCGGGAGCTTCTGGGGGACAGGGCCCATTTTGTTCATTCTTAGCACCTGGAAATCAGCCCGGTCATGGGGCTTCCAGTGTATACAGGCAGGTGCTTGGTAGTGCATGATAAATGAATGACTGAATTCACAGCCCCTCAAAGTCAGGTCTAGAATTACTTACTTCTTTATTTCAGGAGAAGTCTTCTCTAAAAACATACGCTTTGGAAGCAGAAAAATTCCAAGAGAAAATCCCTTGTGCTCCCTCCTACTTAAGAGAAGCTACACAGTAGGAGGTAAAAGGATAAGGTGATTCTCACCAAAAAAAAAAAAAAGTACCCACCTGCAAGATGAGGGACTCCTTATCTCCTTCTAGCCGTGCCAAGCGCTCCTGGTAGGTTTCATTACTAGCAGTACTGTGGTGGTTTACCTGGGTCTAAAGAAGACAGAAAAAAAAGAATACACTTAAAAGGTTGGAAAAACATCTTACCAGCTTCTAAACAAAATAGGGGATGCATGTAATTTGTGAGGACAGTTTCACTGATTATATGTACAAAACCACTCATCAAAACAGGAAACCACAAGATTTCAAAACTACCATGAGGAGAACCAGATCACATGCCACTGAAAGGTGTGCCTTGGCAGTTGGCACAACCGCCCCCTGGATGACCTCACTCCTGGCCAGGAGGCCCTCTGTGAAACTCTAGGCCCAGCAGTGCTTGACTTGACATGCTGGGTCTGGGTTAGCCAGAGGCATTGCCTCCAGAGGCATGGTGACAATGAGGGCCTGCTCTTTGAGGAGACTGGAGAGCCGGTACCATTCACCAAGGGACTACATGGGAACAGCTTCTGCACAGATCTTGGTATCTCCTAACTCTCATGCCAGGGTCCCCTGAAGCCAAGGCACACCTTGCTGCATGGAGGCCCAATCTGAACATCACAGTGAGCATGAAGGATGGGGGATGTCAACTACAAGGCCCTTCACTCACACCTCCCTTTCCACCCCAATCCCACCCTCCAGTAAGAGCTTTGGTAGCCAGGCTGGCAGGTCACATTTCCTCAGTGCTACAGCTGAGAGAAGCAAGCTAAGACAAAACATCTTGAGAAGAACTTAAATAAGAGCCAGAGGGATGCCAGAGCTAAAGCACAGGAAATGACAAGTGACCAGAAACTATAGAAAACAGAGGAAAGGGAGAGGATGTGGAATGTCAGAGGAGAGGCAGAATCTTACAAATGCCCCAAGCAGAGACAGGAGGTGTCACTTTCTCGGGTGTGTCTGAGCTGCTTGTGGGCAGAGAGGAGGGAAGGAGCTGCTAATGTCACTAAGCTGGCCCCAACACCTCCTTCCTCCATGGTGAATGGAAGACTGAAACCAGGCTGGTCTGCAATAGGTCACTCAGAGGCTTGGCAGTCTGAAAAAGTAGATCTGATTGCTAAACGTGGAAATGAGTATCACATAACCTGAGCTGGTCCAGTGAAATCAGTGCTTCAATATTCATGAGGCAGGTGTCCACCACCCTAGAGGAAAGCCCCAACTGTGCAGAGGCAGATGTGAGAGACCCAGAGTTGGGCCACCTTGTCCTAGGCCATTTCTCCACATTTCAACTTTTAGTATGGGCTCTCCCACCACCCTCCATGAGAAAGGGCACCTCCTTCCTCCCCTGATCCCACCCCTTCCCAGTGCACTGCATAGGTGAGGGGAGCAACGGAGCCATGCCCAGTTCTAGAACAGAAATGTGAACGAAGCGTACTGCACTCAAGCCTAGAGTCTCACTAGTGAAAAATACACTGATTGTTTGTTGAAGGTGCAGCCAGAGGACAGGCCCAGGGGCCACTCCCTAGGCCAGCTGTGCCAGGCAGCACCTGCTGCCACACTACTGTCTTCTGCTCCAGCCCCTCTGGAGCCTATGTCTTGTTCATTGTTATGGGAGCGCTCTCATGCTGCAGACAAAGAGCCTTAACAATCACAAATGACGTCTTTGTTAATGGTAGTTTATTGTTGTTAAATTAATATTCCAGTTCTCACATAATCAAACTCTCTGACTAGAATCCAAGGATGTAATCTATATTTTCTCAGAACCTGAGAAGAAAAGATAGGAAAATAATTCTTAACAGCAGATCAAATTCTTATGTCAAATAACTCACATGATGGTCATTTCCAGTGGACAGAGAAAAAGGACCCAGTTGTCCAAGAGAGGCTCTGCACGCAGAACCCCGGTGCCAAAGTCCACATGGACATGGAGCCACCTAGCACTGGCAGCTGCCCACTCTCTGGCAGGAAATGGAGAGAAGACTAAAGACCCCTTCCACAGACTCCAGCAAGCCACTGTACCAACTATGCTTTATTCAAATGGTGTACAGTATATTCTTCATTATAATAAAAGGTCTACCCATGCAATCACCCAGAGAGGCAACTGTTTTTACTAGTTGACAAAAGAGAGTAAAAAAGTTGAAAGGGAGAGGAGCAATACACACTGGGGTCAGTTGGGGGGAAATAGGGGAGGGACGTAGGGGGGGTGGGGAGCTGGGGAGAGATAGCAAGGGGAGAAATGCCTGATGTAGGTGATGGGGAGGAAGGCAGCAAATCACACTGCCACGTGTGTACCTATGCAAAAATTTTGCATGTTCTTCACATGTACCCCTAAACCTAAAATACAATAAAATAAATAAATGGGGGGAAAAAAAAAAGAAAGTTGAAATCATAACTCCAGTTAATAAAAGGTGTGACCCACATTCTATAACACATGCTAGAAGGGGGTAAAAATCTAGATTCACGCTAGAAGCCAATAAAAAAAGAGAAGCACAACCAGTTAATAGATGTACAGATCGGTAGGATAAAATCAAATCAACTGCCTAGGAGAAGCATAACTATTTCAAGCAAGGAAGAAACGTCTTGTTTTCACAGAGAGATTTTATGTAACAGGATCAGCAATATCCATGATAGCACCCTTACAGTAAACAGAGCCCAAGAGAACGCATTGCTTTTGTATGATGCTCTCAGAGTAGTTCAGAGGCTAAGTGGGTAATATGGGCCAAAGGTGAAAGCAATTTTATGGAGATTAATATAATATGGCCCAGGCACAGGGCTGTAAATACACAGCAAGCACCAAGTGCTCAGCATGTGCCAGGCACTATTCAGAGCACTTTGCCATAATGTTTGCATTTCCTACAAAAATGTTTCTATTGAGTAATCAAAATCTATTTGAAAATCTGGAAGCCCTGTTAGAGGACCTAGAACAGTGGTTCCTGATATTTGTCCCTCCTATAACAGATTCAAGGAGCCAACTCCTTTCCTAGCAGTCACACTGGTCCATACAGCAGTGGTGTGCATGGCAGACAGGTCCCTCCCCTACCCCTAATCATTGTTCTAGAGGAACAGTACATCTTCCTCTTCTATAGATCCTTCAGAATCACTGCTGTTCTCCAGCAAGCTTTTAAAAGGTAGTAAACGTCAGTGAGAGACAACATTCCAGACAGAAGCCCACAGTATCCCTATCCTTTGCTTTTAATGAAGTCAGAGCTATGTGTTTTCATGATCTAGACAGGACTGGCATGTGAAAAAACTGTGCTGTTCAGAAAGGCCAGGATCAAATGCCACCTCCGTCTGGAGAAAAACTTAGAAAGCATCTGAGAACAGGGCCAAGAAGAGGATTGTCTTGCTGAATGCTAATATTCGTCAGCCAAAGGTAAGGATTTACCTTTGGGTGAATCTGCATATTCTGTATTCTTATAACTCGGCAACAGGTTCAATCACGTTCTGGTGTCATTCTTGCATTATAAAACGAGTACATCATCAGGGCGTAATAAGCTTTGTGGTTATCAAAATGTGATTCCAATTTATTGAGAAATATGTTTTAAAAGACTAAGTTAGGACACACCTCTGTTTTGCTCTACTTTAAAAAGAGATTGCTTTGTCAAAAGGTATGCCTGGTCCTTTAATAGTGGAATTGCAAATAGAAGGCTTGGACAGATAGTGGGTCCCTGCGTGATTCCAGGTTTAATGTGTCTCTGAAAAGTCTTGTCCATGTTCCTGATTAGGCAAATCGGTGTTAGAGCAGTTGCCCAGCTCTCCATGCATGAAGTCAAGTTGGAAGAACCATGCCCACATTCCACAGAGAAGAAAGTACAACCAAATTCTGAAGGACACTACAGGCCAATTTTCTACTGCTCCCCACTGTGGGATGGCCAGTGACAAAAGGAGAGTATCATCTACCCCCTGTTCTACTTGTTAAGGATGCTTATCCCACAGATAAATATAAGAAAGCTAATTTTTACGCAACCAAGGACATTAGCCACTAGGCTAGGCCTGCCAATGGACTGACTTACTAATCTGTGTTACATATATTTGATCGAACTTCCTCCCCCTCTCTTTTGATGGTTATTGCTACAAACGTAACACGGTAAAAATCAATCTTGTCATTCAAATTTTCCATGGTCAGAGCTGTTTCTGATACTATAATTCAGGTTAGTTACCTAAAAATATCGTGAGAACCATGTGATCTGTGTGCCCTGTGGAGGTGAATTGTTAACTACAGACTGACACTTGCATATCCTCTTGAATTTGGCCTAAAGAACACCACAGTGAAACATACTATCTCTCCATATCATGGAACTGAATCAAGAACCAGGACTTCCTGAATGTATATTGTTAAGAACTCGGCACGTTTAGTCAAGATTATTGAAGCCAAACCAACTTTGTGTCTATCAAGCTTTGCTCTCAAGAAGCTGAAGAGAGTCTTGGACACAAGGAATTCATCCTCTAAAACTCAGATTTCTTGGAGGCAAATATAAAACTGAGCACAGAGTTGTCATATCCAGGTCTTCCGTAGGCCTTGAGAGTAATATTCCAGAGTGTCTTCAGAAACACTGACAACACACCTCCTTGATTCTTACAGGTTATCCCAGGGTCTGTTTCTGTAAGACCCAAATTGCTATCACTGCTGAGGCTGGGCGAGCCTAATGTGCAGCTTGAGCAATTAACAGCCTAAAGTAGGGCTATTTTCTAAGCCATCTCTGACTGAGAGAGGCCTCAAGAAGATGCAGCAGCTATGCAGGGTATTCTGTGGTTGGGATCCTGGAGCTGCTCACCATAGTCAATCGACCTCAGCAGGGAGGGGACAGAAAGAGAACTCCGAGTAGCCAGGATGGAGAGGACTGGCTGACTGCAAGATTCCAGCAGCGACAGTCTCCACATAAAGGGCAGTTTGGACCGTACAATGACACTAGCCTAACCTAAACCAAGTCCTGTCCCTACCTCTCCCATCCCTCCCCTTGGTCAGTGAGTAAGAAATTTACTCTTGGTAAGTTCCTCATGCACAGAGAGCTGGATGCTGACAGACTCAAGAAATCAAGATTTCCGCAACATGGAGAACATTGCATTTTAACTAGGTATGAGATTTTCAGGGGATATGTGAGGTCCAGAAGAGAAACTTTATC